AACCCTCAGGATTCCGTACATCCGTCAGATACACCACCGTTTCATAGTTCGCAGCGCACGCATAAACCCGTTGAGCAATTTCTGCCACAAGTGTGAACATTTCAAGATGAGGGAAGGTCACGTACACAAATGACTTCGATCCATTTACTTCATCAATTTGTGGATTGGTTACCACTCACATCAGACCGTCAATCATCTGACACACACCCCCGGTCTCGCAACGCGAGTTCCGTGAGTCTTGCACCGTCCTCAATTGATTGATTAACCTGCTGCTGTTCAGACGTGTTCTGCTTGCTAGGATGAGTTGTCTCGGAAGCGTGTGTTACATGATTAGCGGTACTAGGTTTTAGTGTCTACTCCGGGGGAGCTGTGGTTGCACAGAAACGTCAGCTACTGCAATACAGCTTCGGCAGTAAAAGAGATGTGCGTGAGTCCTGAAGGACGGAAAACAAATGTTCCCAGATGACCAAGTGGTAAAACCCTCTGAAATCTGGGAGCATCCGGCCAGCGCAACCCGTTTGCTGCTTCTGTAGCTGTTCTAGTTGGACCATCAGGTTATAAGACCGTAGAGTAAGGTCGAAAGTATCTTCGATTTGTGCATTCTACCCTTCATGGAGAGAGTGCTTGCGTGCCGGTGCCACGTGTGGCGAAGGTTAACAAAAGCGCCTCGAGCTTTTGCTATACGGTTCGCAGCCTCATCTTTGATCCCAAGGGCGCTGATAAAACTTCCAATGTAATTTAATTTTGAAGGACTTCTAGCTGATCTCCACCAAGGTTCAGGGCAGGAGGCGGTCAGTCGCAAACTTAGAGGAAAGTTTTGCACTTCAAGTGTGAAAAGCATAGCTTGAATCTGCTGACAGCCAGTACTAATCTGTCCAGTGCAGCTTGGCACGTTTGTGAGCTGTCACAGATGAGGAAAGGTGACAGCGGGCACCCTTGTCTCACACCAAAGGTGATATTGAAGGGGGTAGACAACTTGCCGTAAGCCATCACTCTGCCTCAGCTGCGCTTAGAACACCTTGCTAATATTCACATATTTCTCGGGCACGCCTGTCCTGAGTTGACAATCCCAAAGAACACACCGATCAACCAAATCGAAGGCGCATTGTATATCGAGGAACACGACAAGGATGAGCCGCAAATATATGTGACGGTGCTCCCACGGCTGACGCAAAGCAATGCTGTGGTCGATGCACGCACGAACTCAAAGAAACCCGGCTTACTGTTCACGAAACTGAATTTCAAGATGGTCAGTCAGTCTGTGGAGGATGACGTAACAAGTAATTTAGAGGGGATGGAGATCAAACTGATTCCTCTATGGTTACCGCATTTCGATCGTGAGTCGCCCTTGAAAACAGGGACAACAATAGAGCAGATCCGGTCGGTTGGGACAGTTTCCTGTTCTAAAATTTTACTAGTAACTCGTGCAAATCATCCACAAGCGCACATCCTCTGGATTTCACAGAGAGCTGGAGGTAGATCATCTGGTATCGTGGCTTTATTCAACTTCAGCAGTGGGATCTTACGTTCGACTTCTGAACGAGAGGAGGAATTCAAAGGGACAGCTGACAGATTAGGGCAATCAGTGGCTGGCGAGAAACCTGACAATTCCGACTGATTAGATCGCCTTTCCAACTGCTCAGCTTAAAGCTGCAACCGTTTTGACAAGCTGTATATATGCTGTCCACACTCCTAACGTATAGTTTCACTAACACCAGGTGTTCTCCTGTTCGTTGCCCCGTCAGACGAAGTAACTTTCCATGGTTACCAAGAGCAGCAGTCACTTCCACCTCTGACTAACAAAGAGACCAGCAAGATTCGCGGTCTCCATTCAGGCTAGCATGGAGATTTGCACGAAGATTTTGCGAGTCTACATATGTGCACTTCTAGCTGGATTGTGATGACGAGTGTCGATATGTTATAAAAACCTCTAGGAGACCCAATGTGCATGTTGGGCATAAGACTTTTCACATGAGGATTTGCCTGCTGCTACTAACATACGACCAGTAACCATGAATTGTATTCAGTGAGCGCATACTCAGCCCACATGTCAGCGTACTTCGATACGCAATCAGAAAAGCTGGCTTCGCCAGTTGGCTGGTGTCAATGCGCCCAAGGCGTCGTCGTGGGTGTCCGCCAAAACGCATCAGCAGAGTAGCACACATAAGTGCATGGTCGGCGTCCACAAATGTGCTGCAGTGCGCTTCAGCGGAAACTGCTCACAATAAGATCCTTTTGCGTCCATAGCTGTTTCGAAGCTGGTGGGCGCCAAGTCACTTTCCGGCGAGTGTTGCGTCGGAAATTCATGCTCGCAATACATCCGGTCATCATCAGTGTCCCATGAGGATGGATTCGTTATGGCCACGGTAAAGTGAGAGATTGCAACAGCATCCTCTGCTTACAAAGCTCTGGTTGCGTTAAATTAATCGCAATCACTTCGGCTACCTTTAGAAGACGTTTCCTAAACCCCTTCGGGTGTTGCCTTGCACAGTGTAGTAAACGTGGAAATTATTGTTAGTCGGAAGTCCGTGTCAACTTTGAAACAGATGTTCTAGGATGGAACTCCTAATACTCCCGACAAAAACTTTTCGCCGAGACCCAGGACAATGCTCAGCTATCCGTGTGGACAGACGCCTGGTCGTATGCCCGAGATACTTTGCATCATAGGTGCAAGCAAATTGCTACACCATGTACGATTCAAGCTTGACCGCTAATCTGCCCTTAAGGCGCTGTGCAATAAATGGAGCTGTCTACGCAAGAACGTGCGGATTGGCTACCGGGTAGGTTAGTGCGGAGGAAAGCTTCCTACTCAGCAACTCAAAAGCGATGTAACCATTAAAGGGAACCGTAAGAAATACCCCTTTTTGGGACTGCGATGACAGCTTCACTCTGTTCATGGATTGTAGCATGCTTTTTGATAAATGTGGCAGGGTAGCCGTCTGGAAGCAATACGTCATATACGCGTTCTTTCTCCTTGTCCACGGTTTCAAGGCTACAAATTTTTGAGGCTCGGTTAAAAAAGCAGTGAACTGTTACGTTTACACATCAGAGGCACGAAACTTAGGAAATGTGTGGATTGTACCACCCACATAGCCTACCAGAAGACACTTCCCTCAAGATAACCATGTTCCTGTCTCTTCAGTTGTGTGTGCAAGAACACCAACCGTCCTTCTCTTTCGATTTCTGTGGTGAACCTCATTGACGGGTGCGAAGCGTTGACTTGATTACGTAAACTGACGACATCAGCGTTAGAGTAACAGATAACAAACGTGTCATCCAGGTACCTGTAGTAGTAATCCAGTGAGGCAATAACAGTTTGAATAGGACCGCGTTCAATCTTAGCGAGAAACACATCTGGGAGAAGAGATCCTAGGTGCGAGCACATAGAAACTATGTCGATCTACCGATAGATTCCATCAAACAGGAACTGCCTACTAAATGTGCATCGCAAGATTAGTTTCCTTTTTCTGTTCCGAGATGCCAACATTAAATCCTTCTTCTTTCATTTATTCGCAAATAAAGTTGACAGTCTCCAGTTACGGACGTTAGTGAAAGTGACTCCGCATCAAAGGAGAGCATCAACGTACATTCTACCTTCAAGTCCATAACTTGCTCAACAATTGCAAATGTCTTTCAGAGAATGTATGCATAACTCTTTACGTACTGGTTCCAGTAACTCGGCAATCCATTTTGCGACTGAGTGGAAAGCAGAGGTCGGTATATCAATTATAGGAAGGAAGGGGAATTCCAGATTGTACATTTTGGGTAAATCATAAAGTCGGGGTTGAGAGAAAAAATCTTTTAGCCCATTAGGTAAAGAACCATTTACCATGTGAATCTGTTTCAATTCCTTTAGTTTTCGTTAGCTCGGAACTTCGTCTCTCGATATTGTAATCATGTTTGCTTCATATGAATGACGGAAAAGCTACTCTTTGCAACCGAGTTTTCTAACATTCCCATGGGCATTATCAATTAACAATCTATTGGATATCGCAGTCAGCTCCCTCAATTTGCCACATGAACGTGTACACTGGGATACTGTCAAGCTAACTAGCTTCTTTGTTATTATAGCCCACCTTGACGCACATAAATCTGTGCAGTTGGGTGAGTAATTCGTTTGCTACTTCCTATGCCCATTAAATATAACAACATGATATTATGTTGTGCACGGTATTATCTTATTCCTAAGGTCCAATTTTTTTGTCCAGTACTCTTTCACTTCACTGATACGCAGTTCATTTGTTACACTTATTAGCATACGAATGAGCAGTTCCTTCCAACCTATGGGACACGTTAACCCAATACTATTTTAGCCTTCATAAACAATTATTCCATTGTTTGTCCACATACACAAGTATGCAAGCCCCTGTGAGCTTCATCACTCTGGCACTTACAAAGAACACACCACGATCGCAACCCGCAAACACTCACTAAACTAGCTTAGCAATCTGGCCTTCACCACTTGGAACCCAATCACCTGCCCACTAATCCTTCGTCTTATAAACTGTACACAGAGTCCACCACTTATCATACGGATATGTGGCGTACAGTAAACACCCGTAGAAATGCGCGCACTCATTCCGGCTCCTGTGTTCGGTTGCCCAGTCGCAAACACAGTCATTGTCATCTTGCTTAAGTATCCCGTGACGAATAAGTTGCTTTGATTGAGGGCATATTCACGAGTTTTGTCCGAATTGATTTTGATAATCATTCGTACTGTACCTTAGTCCACCTTCAGCCTTGTCCTGGTTTCACCTCAGTCGCACGCTCTGTTCGAGGTCAAGTACATCGTTCATGTAGAAAACAGACGGTTGCCATTGTAAAAACTGCGGAATCAGCACCGTTATCGCTCCGTTAGTCAAGTTCGGCTGAGAAGATTTTAACACGCCAAACAGAATTTGGCATACGCTTCAGGACCATCACCATGAATCGGAAGCGGTGCGTTCACGTGATTGTGTAACCGTATATATAAACCAGCGACCCCAATTCGTAGTTAGTGAGGACGCCGCTACTTTTTCGCTCTTGTAGAAATCTATCAAGAAATGTCCGGCCACGGTGAGTTCTTTTATTCGTTGAGAGTAACGCAAATTATTTCCAAATTGGACAGCACTATGAATGCATTCGTTACCTATCCTGATCGTATACCACAAGGCCTGTTTAGTCTAGCCTATAGTCCCAATCAAGATAAGTAGTTAATAAGAAACCAACTTTTTCTACTGCCTGGACTCGTAAATTTCCAGGATGTGTCAGCACTTGCTTTTAGCTCCAATTGCGGTTGAAATCGAGTATAGCTTTCAAATATATAGAGTAAAATGAAAACACGACGTGTATGGGAAATTACATTCGAACAGACGCACTGCTGAATTCAAAGACTTCAGGCGTGTATGTAACTGAGCAATTTCTACGCGCATGCACAATATAACTTAAACATGATTGGTTTATAACTGTGCTAGTCCACCTTACAGCCACGACTCCGAATATCGTCGGGTTAAGCAATTCGGTTCACATCTGACTTTAGGAGTTTCGATGAGGTAGACTGATGGTCATTTAAGTAAACAAATGCGTCAGAGCGACGGGTCCATTCAAGTGACTGGCACAAACAGCCGTAAATACTTATCGTGCAAACATGATAATACCGGAGTTTCTTGGCTAATTCTTTTCCTACAAAAGCGATAAAGGCCATTAACCCCTATGACTCACTCTTCATATTCGAATTCCTATAAGCATCACCTATACACAGTTTAAAATGCTAGCTGGACTAGTTACCGAATGGATCAGTACGATGAACGACTGCGTGAGAAAAAGTCACGCCTCAGCGAACAACTAAATCGATAGACCTCATGAACACTCCTGGTATCCTAAGACATCAAAAATCAGTTCTCAAAATATTACTTCACCGTGGAGACAATGTAATCTATTAGTCGAGTAGTGTGAATTCAATCGTTAATACTCAACTTCTCCAGTGGACTTAATTGTGCATCGTTTATTGCCCTGAACGAAGATATGCACAGCTAGCGGGTTGAAATTTACTGACTGGTGGTTATAACTTAGCCAACTACGTAACAAACGCATGATTTTGGAAGCAATTCGTAAGTGCAACTGCAGTGAAGTATTTATTCCTGACAAGCGATTTTGTAACAAAAGCACCTTAGTTCAGTTCCGTATCCACTTTGGTTCCCTCATGAAGTTGATGGATAACTTCCGAGAGGTGAACGGTTGTATTCGCGCCCTAACTAGCATCACATTCTACGCGAATATATTTTAAAAACGATGTCAGTGTGTACCAACTACATAGGTCTGGTCCCATCTAATGTCGCAGAGTAAACTAGACTAAATCATGTGTCAGTACCTGGATGTACTTGAGACTTCCATCGGCATTCACATCCAAAGCTGTGTTCACATTCTTGGCATTATCTTTGCTTGAAATCGTAGTATCACGCGTTCCTATCAATGCATTGACATCAATCACTTTCCGATAGAAAGACTGGGCAGTTTCTTTCATAACTACCTCACCTCGTACGTACCACACCCTGAAATAGTTCATTTTACTTTAAAGAGCAATAGTGCGATCGTTTCAGTAACTGTTTGTGCTAATCGGCGATGAAGTCGGGCCATTTCTCAAGCCACCTCTCAAGCCATACAAAGCCTAATAAATAACTATGCCAAAATCTAGTTTGCTTTCGATGGGACTTCACGTAGCCAACACACAAAGTTTTTTTGTTTGTTCTCTTTTACGCAGGCGAACACACTCAGCAGAAATTCGGTGCTGACTGGGAAGAGAAGTTCGCAGAAGAGAAGTGTCAGATATCGACACCGGGCAAAGAAGAAAGTAAAAAACACGAAATTGGCCTGCACCATGATAAAGACGAATGCCACGACAAGGAAAAGAAGGAACACTGTACGGATGACTGCCACAAACCAGGCATGATGAAGGAGCACTGTAAAGACTGATGTGCTTAACTCCGCAACCAGCTGGTCCGGTCCGACCTAACTCATTTGATTACTTACTCTTCTGTTTTAAATAGCTGCCTCGTAATGACAGTATACCAAATACGCTATTACGTCATTCGTGCTTGCGATATTACATCTATTCACTTTACCAATTTATGCGTTGAGATGCCATTAAGCCGCTACTAATAATGCACTGAGTGTTAAGTTGTTCAACAGTGGTAATAGCTGCAAAGATATAGAGCTATCGGTGCTGGACATCACGAGATGATCCTGGTGGTGAATTGAGATGAGGTTGCGCAATAACGATTTGCCGAAGCGCATCAGAATCCTTAAGACTGCGTGGTCTGCGCTGTGTGATAACAACCGTTTGACAACACGGAGTTTGCCCGAGCACAGTGCTTGAAACCAGACGAATTTGACCAGCATAGCCATACCAAATTTGACTCCATAGACAGGTTACACCATGACATTTCCTTTTCGCACTACGTTCACTTGTTTTCTCATTGGTGACACTTTGGAGTATGATACAGTTGTGCTCTGGATAACAAAACGACCTAATACAAATAGAATGGTATTCCACATGGCCTTGGGTAACCGTGTTCAATGCGTTTTGCTTAGCTGTAATTAGTGTGCGCGACCGAGCAGTGATCAAACCCGATGACGAGTGCAGCGCGCATCACTTCGGTCATAAAAGATCATGTAATTATAAATGCTGATTCCAATCTAATCGCTTTGGTAGATAGTGGAAACAAATTAAATAAATGCCCGCACCATACACAGCTGATTGCAATTGACTGACGGTGATCACAAGCAACGGCGTCAGACAGCATACGGATATTCTGTGAGTTAGGAATAGAATCCAGAAAAAAAAGTATTCTGGATTTGAGAGACCCGTCTTAAAGCACTCAGTTTGTAAATGCATTGTGACGCTCAATCTCAATGTAGATCGGGATTCAACATGAAACAAAGTTTGGTCAATTCGACCACCGGAATCATAATTGATGAAGCAGGTTAATTTTTGGGCGTTACCCGTCAGGGATCTTCACCAAGGTAACAAGGGTCGCGCCCAAATGCTCACATAAATTAATAATGCTATGCAATCAGAAGCAACACATATGAACGGAGTGAGGAAACAAGAGAATAAAAAGGCATTTGTCACAAAGTGGGGTCTGAGATATAGTCGATTCGCATTGATTTGTGTGAAATAGACTCAGAACTGCGTCTGGAAAATAGACTGCAACGTGTGCTTGTGGACTGAAGCACTACAGATGGATATCAAGGTGCAATAAACAATCTAATGGGCGCACTAATCTTCAGCAGGCGTCCAAAAGTCGTGAAAATTGACAAAACTACGTTAATCAAGGTCTTCGTGTATGCTTAGAGCGATCAGTTTCGTGAGGGATGGAACGCTGTCGATAATTAATAATAAACAATGATTTATGGCGGGTAAAATAGTAGGTGCTTGACATGTCCGTAGGGTGGTTAGATTGAGAAAAGATAAATCAAGGGATACTGGAATCGTCGGTTCGGGCGATTACATATTTAACTGCACTGCCGTATCAAGGGAGTTTGAAATTAAAATATGCACACACAAATCAATAAGGGAGTGATTTTTGATCACTTAATAAGCGAGAAGAAATAACAAATGAGCATGACTTCTATGAACTGGCCATTCATTGTGAACATGAGGAGCTCGCGGTTGTAGTTTCATTGTACTCTCCAACTCTTCTTTCGGCTCCCAGGTCGCTCATTCACGAAGCAGTTGTCAAGGCGTCGAATGACGGACAAGTAGAGTAAATTCGGTCTTCTTCACTTCAGTCAGTTTACGGCTCATATTTAAAGAGTAATTATCGTAACCATGGCTCTAATAAAGTTCCAGTATTGGTTTGCCTATTGCGCCCAATAGTCGTTGGCCCTCACAGGCTCTCAATAAAGTAACCCAGTTTCTTAATGGTCCGCTACCGTTAAATCAACAGGCTGCACTTGAACGCACAGGGATATAACAGAGGTTTACGTGTGCCGCGTCTGCGAAAATATATTCTGCGACATCTTCGGGTAGTCTTTCACAACCAAGGTGATAGAGTGGAATTTTACATGCGTAAATAAAAATTAAAGAAATCAAGTCCTCCATCGGTCACGAAATAATTAATAACCATATCTTATATACCAAAACATGTAACAAACCACCTAATCACTATTTATTAGCCATCCGTGACTAATCCTTAGTGTGTGCTTCCTGAATTGGACAATTTGCGGAAATATATGTTAGTAGCAATAGTCCGAATAAGCATCCACAATATACGTTCGCTGAAGGCGTGAAACACGCCTCTGCTAATGTGCCGCAACACAAAAAATATGATAGTACAAATAACAATACGAAAATGTTCAAAAATCGAGTAACGTAATGTTAAATATCATATTATTAATTTGCTATGAGACCGTGACTGGGGGGGAATCTAAAAGAGCGGGTTGGACAAAGAAACTCATGGCACAGACGCCGTTGGGACCGCCTGATAGCCAAGTAAATGATTGTGTCAAACCAAACGTGTTCATTGTTCTTAGAACCTCAGCCAGGCGGTCGGGATGCATCAACCGACGCCTACTTCTAAGTGAGGGTTTTCATTCCTCTTGACCAAGTCATCGCTTGGCCACTCCTCCTCTTCCTCCATCCGCGCCCCCGGCGCGCGGACGACCCATGTCGCGGGAATCGGTGTGCTGGTATGGACAACACGTGGCCCACCCATCGGAGTCTGGTGCAGTATATAATGGTGCTGAACAGGTCACTTGCTCTTCCTGTGTCAAATACGCGACGCCAAACATAGTCACTGGGCACGCGGTGCCCCCACCAGACATGAGCTGAGCTTCGAAGGCAGCGGTGATCCAATGTGACGAGCCTCCTTTTGTCTGTCGATCTGATGGGTCAAGTTTCGCAACCGTACAGGAGGGTTGAACAGACGGCTGCATTGTAACTTACGCATTTCAGGGTGTGGGTGACATCGCTTTGGCACTACAAGTGGCGAAGATTAACAAAAGCAATACGACTTTTTGCTATACGGTTCGTGACCCCATCTTCAATCCCACGGGCGATAATATAGCTTCCAACGTACTTAAATTCCTGAACGACTTTTAGCTGATCGTCTCTGAAGGGCAGCGCAGGGGTAGGACCTCGCCAATCCTGAAGAAGGACTTTGCATTTCGAGAGAGCAAAGCATAGCCCAAAACAGCTGATTGCCAGCGCTAATCTCTCCAGTGCTTCTTCGCAAGTTTGGGTGCGGTCACAGATTAGGGCTATGTCGTCAGCATACTCCAAGTAAAGAAGTCGATCACTAGGAAGAGGCTCGTGTCCAGCGAACGCTATTCCCATACATTTGACAATGGCGAAGTTAAGGAGGAATGATGCCAACGGGCCACCTTGTGTCATACCACAGGATATACGGAAGCGCGGCGACAGTTCGCCATAAACCATCACTCTGCGGGCACAGAGCTTTGATATTCTTTACGCATTTATCGGGTCCAAATTTCCTCAGCAGATACTTCCAAAAGGAACATCAAACAACCGAAGAAAAGGCGCATTTGATGTCGGAAAACATGACTACGGTGGCTCGCCATTAAAATGGCTATGGTCCAACAATTGACGTAAAGATGTGGTCGAAGAAACCACGACCTGGACGAAATTCGGCTTGCTCCTCACGAATATGACTTTCACGAGTGCCAGTCAGTCTGTGGAGAATGACAGATGCAAGCAATCTAGAGGCAATTTAGATCAGACTGATCCCTCTATGATTACCGCATACCGAACGGTAGCCTCGCTTGAAAACTGGGAACATGACGGAGCGGCTGTAGTCTGTCGGGACAGTTTCCCGCTGCCAAAGTTTCACTAGTGTAAATCCTCTACAAGACCAGATCAGCCGCATTTGAAGTGGACTGGAGTAATTTCATCTGCCCCTGCGGCCTTATGCAAGTTCAACCATCTGATCTCGCGTTCGACTTCTGTGCGTGAGCGCGGATTCAGGGAAATGGCCTAGAGTCCGTGGATCAATTGACAGTGGAGAAGGCGACTACTCTGACTGATTGAATTGCTTCGCAAACTATTCGGCCCAAAGCTCCAAGCTTTTGGACCAGTTGTGGATCGGTTGTCCACTCTAGTCGCGTATGTGCTAGCTAACACCAGGTCTCCTGCTGCTCGTTTCTCGTATCAGACGGAATAACCCGATGTTTACCAAGAGCAGTGGCTATTTCGCGGTCTCTCTTCAGGATGGCACAGAAACTTTTCATGAGATATTCGCGTGTCCCACTATGTTCGCTTCCAGCCAGAATACGCCGGCGAGCATCGAAAAGTTCCAGAAACTGTGTAAAGACTCATTATTCAGGACATGTCTGCTGATAGTAACTTCTGGCGAATATGCGACCAGTGATCTTCGTGTTAAGTGAGCGCTTACTCAACTCAGATGCCAGCGTACTTTGATACGCATTTAACACGCTTGACTTCGCCAGTTGGCTGGTGTCTATGCGCGCACAGCTGCGTTCCGGACGTCCGCCGAAACGCAGCCGCAGGTCGGCACACACAAGAGCGTGATCGGTGTATGCTCTTGCTCTAACGGGAACGACAGTTTTGCACACAGCCTCACCAGCGGTAACTGATCGCGGTATGATCCACTTTCTTTCACGGCTGGTGGGCGCCAAGTCACTCTTCTGCTAGTGCTGTGTCGAAAATCTGTGCTCACAAGAAAGAGACGAGCATCATCACACCAATGTTGCAACCGCTCACCATTATCATTACGAGAGCATCCACCATGTTGGCCGCCCAGATGAAGCTCATCAAAAGATAATTGTCCGGATTGGATATTCAGATCACCAGCAAGCATCATTGTATCCGTTCTTACTCTGCGACGGAGGAACGTGTTCATTTGGTGATAGAATTCAGCTTTCACCTAATTAGTGCTGCAGTTTGTAGGCGCGTAGGTCGCAATGGCAAAATAGGAATGAAAGCCGGTCAAGCAGCGCAGCTAGGTG